GGACCCTATCCAGAGAAGCAATGACGCCAGAGATGGAGGCAGAGACAATGACGTGGAAAGATGGAGCGGCTGGGGACTCTAGACTTGGGGAGAGAGAGGATCTCTTCTCTGTGCTGAGACTGGGGTGGGGAGGGCACAGGCTTGCGGGGGTGTACACTTTGGTTGTTTGATGATATATGGAGGGGACTGTAATCATTGCAATGAAACGAAATATTCTCCCATGTAAACTATTACTTAATTCACAATATAAACTTAAAAAAAAAGCCTTCACAGTTCTCTTAAAAAACTGGTTGTGAATAATATTGCTGGTATTGAAGACTTGAATATGATTAACAATGACGGAACAGTTATTCAGCAATCCCAAGGTCCAAGCTTCTCTCTATGCAATTACTTGCCATGCCGAGCCAAACCAATCACAGAAATGCTTCCTGAAATATTAAGTCAGCTTAGTGCTGACAGTTTAACAAGTTTTAGGAAGTCAGCTGAACAGTCCCAAGGCAAGTGTTGGATAGTAAAACACTAAAACCAGATGACATCGAGGAGGGAGATGATGATATTAAAGGTCTTCTAGGAATTTTTGATGAGGCATCAAAGAATGAAGCTAACTAAAATCTTTTCTAGTTTTAGGAAGATTGCATGGACTAGATTTAACAAGTCAGTCATGTAGTTCCAAAGTTTTACAGACATGGAGAACATCAGCTGTCACTAGTTGAGTAATAGAAACATCATGTCTATGAATGAGTACCTAATCCCTTTCTCTGTAAGATTTTGTTTCCTCATCCTGAGGAACAATAGCTCCATCCTCAACTTTTCACTTCCCCTTCATTTTACAGTTTGGAAGATTTCAAACTACCCTGTGCTTGCTAACTAGTTTATATCAGCCTTATCCTATATCCTCGTTGTTCTTAACAGCAACTGAAAACATGCCTCTTTTTCAGCAAGGTTGACATTATGCCTTTTTGAATCGGAAAAAAATAGGCCCTAGACTCATACTTTAGAATGAGATGGATGTTCTGTAAAATGGTACTGGTATCAGGATCATCTCAACCACGCTCCTACTCTTGATCTTGGACCTAACTATTGGAGCTGCTCACAGTACCCCTCTTGCATGCATGTAGTGCTTTGAGGAGGAACCCTAGGTAAACACAGTATTTTTTTTTCCACCAGGGTCACTAAGAGTCCTTTCAGAGAGCTTGGAGGTAAGTTGCATTCATTCACTCAAGGCTCCCTCTTGCTGTCTGATGATAAAAGCTTGCATATTGCTCTACCAGCATTTGTTTCAGCCAATAGTAAAGGATAAGACTTTAGGAAATCTAATTTTCTGGCCCATCTTTAAACTAACTATGGCTTATCCTTGCAGCATATCAACTTTTATTTTAAAGTAGATATCTTTCTTTGATATCAAAAAGTGCAAAGCTAACGTATCTTGAACTCTTTAAACAAAGGCTAAGTTCTTGTGTTTTTTTCATCCAAACAGCTCAGTTTATTTGACAAATTTGTTCACTTTACCTGCTGTGTTCTTTATAATATATGGACTTAACTACAAAATAAAATAAGAGTACAAAAGAGAGAAATAAATAAAAACCTCAATATAAAGCAGGTAACATAGAGCTGTTGGTCTAAGAAACAAGCATGAAAGGGCTGCAGGCTATTTACTCTCCTTTCCACCTATTTCACTTCTGAAGGGACCCATGGAATACAAATTGAAAACCCGAAATCACATAAAAATATCATTTAGTAATATCCTTGAACTAGTTTGGCTGCTTTCAGCATCACAGATGCCAAGGAAATTGTTTTTGCTTCACTCGTTCAGAAAGCCTCATCAACTGAATACAATAATGATAAAGCTAAAGGGTCAGATTTTATATCAATTCATACCACCATCACATTTTCTCTGCCTCTTCCCCACTCAATTCAACAAGAATGAAGAAAATAAACACTCAATAATTGTTAACTATCAATTAAGAAATGTATTAAAGGGTCAGAATTGCTGTAAGAATGGACCAACCCTGAAGAGGAACAACCGCTGACTCAACAGCTAAAATACTAACTACCTTTATTAGTTCATAGGCCACTAATTCACAAGGGTAAACAGAAAGCTACCATTTGTCTCTCAAAAATAAATGAATACAGGAGCGGAGGGTGGAAGGTGGGACCCTACCCAGAGAAACAACAAAGGTCAGATGTTCCCCACCCCTGCTCTAGGGAAACTCACCTAACATGGGACTCACCCTAATCCTACCACAGTAACATAACCTGCCTTGTTAACACAAATCCAAAAACCAAACCAACTGCCATCCACTCCTCATTGTAACCCTGCAGGACAGAACAGAATTGCTCAGTAGGGTTTTCAAGGCTGTACATCTTTACAGAAGCAGCTGGTAGGTTTGAACCATGGACATGGACCTTACTGCGCCATCTGGGCTCCTTGTTGACACACAGAGGTCAGAATTTGCATTGCACAGAAACTTTAGCCACTCCCTTCCACACAGGTATTACTCTAAAACTATGAGGGGACTTCTAGAAGTTCTTGATAACATGGAATTGAAAGATAAATGAATTTTTCCACAAATGTTTTGAAGTCCACTTGTATCACTGGATTGGGAATAAAACAAAGCAAGGAAGCATTTTTACTACACCTCCAAGCCTTTTCAGCAAATTCTATATCTCATCTAATTCACCTTCTCAATGAACACCAGATGAGCCACACAACAACAAATATTTTAAAGTTTAATTCTTCTTTTTTCAGAAAAGCAATATCACTTGTGCAGAAATGAAACTTTAAAAAAGGATATCATTTATTACAGTTAGAAGCAAGTCGACCAAAAGCTCAGTCATCCAAGGATAGGTCATATATACTTCGGAGATGCACAAAATTCTGAAGAATTAAAAAAGCTTAACTTCGTTATCTCACGTAGGACAACCTACTAAAAAAGAACAATGTCCTCTGACGACAGCTTCTTCAGAACCTACCAGTTCTTCATTCCAAACTACACAACCACTCACATTTTCATTACTCTCCAGACTCCAGTTCCTCAACTGTCCTAAGGAGTCATACATTTTCACCTATACCACAATCTAAATAAGTCAATCCTTTTACCATCTAGCCTTTAAAATTATGCTTTTATTTCACTCTCTCCCCCCACCCACACACACACTGTGATTCTTAAGTACAATGGGCTGGGGGAAAGCACAAGGGGAAGAGTGAAATCTACTGAAATTTAATTATGCAAATTTATTTCTTGGCAAGCCCAAAGCCTTCACCAGATTTTTAAAGGGCACCGTTTGAACTGCAAGGTCAGCAGTTCAAGCTCACCAGCTGCTCCTAAGAAACCCTACACAGGGTCGCTATGGATCGGAACCAACTTGATGGCACTTAACAATAACAACAAGGAGTCCTGAACGATTCCTGGTGTGACACTGTGGGCTAATGTGTCAGACTGCAAAGCTGTTTGAACTGCAAGGTCAGTGGTTCAAGCTCACCAGTTGCTCCTTGGAAAACCTATACAGGGCCACTATGGATCGGAATCGACTCAATGGCACTTAACAACAACAACAACAACAAGGAGTCCTGAAAGGAGACCTGGTAGTGTAGTGAGTTATGAGTTGGAATGTCAAAGGCCAGATCAGCAATTCAACTCTACCAGCTGCTCCAAGGGAGAAAGATGAGGCTTTCTGCTCCTGTAAAGATTTACAGCGTTGCTATGAGTCAGAAGTAACTCGGAAGTACACAATCACCAACCACCAAGGAGTCCTGAAAGGAGCCCTATTGGGTAACGCTGGGCTGCTAACCACAAAGTCAATGGTTCAGACCCACTAACTGCTCCTGGGAAGAAGGATGAGGTTTTCTGCTTCTGTAAGGCAGAAACTCTATACAGAGCTTCTGTAAGGAGGAAGTGACTCCAGGCAGTGGGTTTGGCTTTGGTTTTATCACCCTCAGAAGGACTGGTTCTACTCACCAGGTCACCTAAGGATATTTCTTAGCCTAACAGCACGCGAGCTAATAAAGCTTTGCTTAATCAACACCCTCAAGTCTTTCTGTGGTCTTTGTATATTCAGAAGGATTTTTTCTTTTTAAATGTCAACGCTTTCCATAAGGCTGTTAGTCTGCTGAGTGCTACAGCAACATTTTTATACAGAAAGAAATGACAAGGAGCAAGAGTTGGATAGCCATCACTAATTAGAGTTAAACATGGCATTGTCCTCCTCCTGACAACTTTATGAAGGTACAGGTAGACACGGTATCATTTCCCCAAACCCAGTGATTCCTTTCAAGTCTGCCTCAACCTGGCAATGCTGGTTAGTTTCCTGCATCTTTATATGCACCAAAAAACAATGTGAAGCTAGGCATGATGGGGCTGCTTCTGCAAACGAAGCAGGTGCATTAAATCTGTACACGAAGCAGACACATTACACACAGGAACAAAAAAGTCTAAGACTGAACACAAATCTACCGTCAGGTTGGCTTAGCTCTAAATTACATGACTCAACTAGCTGTCTAGTTCTTTAGCTAACTAGCTTAATACGTAACATTTCCTTTACATCTATAATTGTGTTAGTCCAATGCTGCAAACAGGATACTTAAATCACCCAAATCCTCAAAGTGGGTGAGTTAAACGGCTACCAAAATCCCCGAGGTAGTGAAGGTGTTCAGGGTGCAAGCACGAAACGGCGCTGCTGATGATTACTCACACCTCCTCTACACCTGTTCTTACGGACGAGTTTATGGAAGAGCTCTACCGGAAGAAAATGAGACAAGGGAGACTCCGGGTAAGACGAGGCGGTGGTCAGTCCCGGGGTTTGGCAGCCTGTGTCTCCCCGCCCTGCGGCCTGCACTTCCCTGACAAGCAGCGGCCTAGCGTACAGCGCGAAGCCGGGAGCGGTGCGGCCAGTCGCGGAAGCCCCAAGCGATCCGCGGCCCCAAGTCTCAGAGTCCAGGGTTACTTCGCCCTCCCCAGGCCACCACGGCCAGCACGCCCGTCGCCTCCCGTCCTGCTCACCCGGGCTCTTTAGGTTATAGCGGGTCTCCATGATGGGTCGATGGCCCAGCTTCGGCCTCACGGCCAGCAGCCGTCACCTCTCCGTTCTGCGCTGTCCCGGTCTCTTCGAGGATCGAGCCTAAAGAGCCTAGGGAGGGAGCTTCCGCAGGCGCCGCCCAGCCTCGTCCGGCACTGCTGCGGGAGGGGCGGTGAGGGCACGAGCCGGGCGCGAGCTTCGCGATGGCACCGCCTCCTGCGCTGCTTCCCCTGCCTCCCCGTAGGCCCGGCAGGCGCCGGCGCCGGCGGGGGCGTAGCTGAACCGGGCGCCGGGGTTGGAGATCGGCCTTCTAGTCTGGCCGCGGGCCCAACCCCGCCGCGGCCGCCTGTTCTGCGTCACCTGCTTTCGCCAGGGTTTTGTGAAGTTGCCTTGACGTGGCAGTTGCTTCGTGGCGATTGGACGGTCAACGCTGAGTCTGGTAACTCATGGCTCGGCGACCTGCAAAAGCAGATAGTGCCCTCGTCCTTTCTACCCGGTCCTCCAGAGAGCCATCTTCCGCGGGGCCCAGCCGGGCGCCCCCAGTCGCTCGCGGGTTTTACGCAGGCACTGCGCGGCCGGAAACGGACTCGACTTTACCTGCTGCGGGCTAGGTCTGGGACTCGCAGGTCCTCGAGAATTCAGAGGAGCCCCAGGCTCGGTCTGCAAAACTACCCTGGAGCCGGACTGCAGGCACGCTGACTGCAGTGTCTTGAGAAATTGAATGGCCATTTTATATCAAAATACTGTTTCACTTAATGTGATTAGGTCCAAGTTATTGTTTTAGATTTTTGAGGGATTTCAAAAAAGTTAAAATATGTCAAAAAATAAAATGAAGGGAATTTAAGGAAAAGCATCCAAATAAGAGAAAAACCAAAGGACATGCACTTCATTTGTCCATTCAGTGGGAGAGAGAACCATTTATAGGTTCAGAAGACTTAAAGGAGGTTAAGTGCTGTTGAGTCAGTTCCAATTCATGTTGTTTGTTGTTAAGTGCCTCAGAGTTGATTCCGACCCATAGCGATCCTGTATAGGGTTTCTGAGGAGCAGCTGGTGAGCTTGAACCGCCGACCTTGCTGTTCAAACTGCTTTGCAGTCTGGCGCATTACCCCACCAGGACACCAATTCATAGCGACCCTGTATAGGGTTTCCGAGGAGAAGGAGTTACTTGGACCCGGAAGAATGTGGGATGGAGAAATTAGGAGAGGATGAAGGAAAAGGAGGGGTTAATCAGGTTGGGCAGATTTCATTTTGCTACCTAAGATTTAAAAGTCTTAGCTTTGATTCGATTTCAAATCCACTGAGCTATTGTTAAAGTTAAGAATCTGAACTTAATAGTGAAAGATGCCTTTGGTATCTCAAGTGTACCAGAAGCCCTTTGTAAAGAGTGAAATTCAAAAATAAAATGGTATCTTTTAAATAATTCCATATTACTTCCTGAACAGTAAACTCATCATCTGAATGACCAAGATATGCAAACAAACCCAGACCTCATGTATTGCTTCAACTATGGGTGACCTTTAAGTCCTGGGAGTATACATAGTGGGTTTATTCCAAGGTAGACCTTGGCCTGGGCTCGCCACCCAATCTTAAAGAAAGATTGTACAATTTATAAACAAAACGAACTTTTAAATGTTCTTGTAATGAAATGCCCTTTTATTACAAGTACATTTTAAAACATACATTTTAAAACCTTAGCAGGTGTACATCACTTTAAGCAATGCCATTAAACTGATTTTACCCATAGTTTTTCACAATCTGACCCTCTCATCAAAATATTTTTATGTATTTATTGATTTGTTCATTTAGTTGAATTTTCAAATTCTCAATTCTCTTGTGCTGCATCCTTGCAAAATCCATCATTTATTTTTTCCTGAGTTCCCAAAGGCCTTCCAGTAGACAGATCTGTGAAGAGGGTGTTTCTGACAGCTGAGAAATGAAGAGCTCTCTGGAAGTGCTAGGGACCTTTCTGTTTTTCAGTCTCCAGGTCCATCAATCACCCCAGGACACAACTGTCCATTGAGGCTGTCCTTGACTTCATCTCAGAAAGTACCTGGACATTCTGCTTTTCTTTCTTTTTAGACCATCACCTAGTCTGCTCCTTGGGGCTCTTCTCCCCATAAGACTGGCTCAGTAGCAATTACAGACAGCCTCTCCTTGCTTGATTAAAAACAACAAAAAATTCTGTTCTGATCATTTAGTTGTGGACACATGTCAACAATTTATTATCTTGCTGGAAGGGCAGAAACCTCTTGTTGTTTATGTGCTATGGAGTCGGTTTCTACTAATAGCGACCCTGTACAGGGTTTCTGAGGCTGTAAATCTTTACAGGAGCAGAAAGACTCATCTTTCTCCCGCGGAGCAGCTGGTGGTTTCGAACTGCTGTCCCTGAGATTAGCAGCCCTATTTGTAACTACTACGCTACCAGAGCTCTTAGCTACCAAAAGCCTCTAGCTAGCCAAAATTACTTCTATTTTATTGGAAGCGTTTATTTCTTCCTAAAAGAAGGCTGTAAATTACACCAAGCTAAAGGGTTTGATTCCAAACTGAGTTTGGAATAATTTCTCCTTTACCTTTGGTGGTCCTAAAAACAACTTTTCATTTTAAGAGCTTTTCCTTAAAGCTGACTCAGGAGATAGCAGAAATGACCAAGTTGAAGTTTTAAATGTTTCAGAATCTCAAAAATGTCTTAGAACTACAATCTTTGACCTATAGCATCAGTTTTTCTTCTGTAGTAACCAGAATCCCTTTGAAATACAGATCCCTTCTTCACCACCATGTGCATTCTGGAACCAGCAAGGACTGATACTAGACACTTAACATTTATTTTTCCATTTATTATTCAGCCTGGCGGGGGGGGGCATTGATAATTCATACCCATTTTACAGACAAAGACAACTGAGGTCTCAGAGAAATCAGGTGATCTGCCTAAATTCTCAGTTTTTTCAACTAGTTTACAAATTCCTTTTCTTCTGACATGCTTTGAAATTGTATTGATGAAAGGAAATTTCCTCTTATTTCTTGACTTGGTCTTCATACTTTGAAACTCATTATACAAAGATTCTTAAGAGGTCAATAACTTTACTCAAGACGACTTAGCTAGAAAATGGAAGAATCCTTATTTAAATCCAGGTCTCCTAACTCTGAAACCTGATTTGCTTTCATGACACTCAAAAAGAATTCAACATATATAACACAATCCCAATCTAGATTCCAATAACATTCTTTAGAGAGATGGAATAAACAATTACAAATTTTATATGGAAAGGAAAAGAGACCCAGGATAAGCAAAGCACTCCTTAAGAAGAACAAAGTTGGAAGCCTCTCACTCCCTGATTTCAAAATATGGCTATATGATCACGTCACTAAGGCCTTTTTTTCTACCATTTGAAGAGGGATATGCTTCCCAGAATCTCAATGCTATCCCTGGACCACACACTAAGATATTTATTTTTCAGCATTTCAAACTAAGCTCATTTTGTAAAATGATTTTTTCTTGATCATAAAAGCAATACATGATTGTTGTTCAATACTTGGAATGTAAACAAAATGCAACTCCTGTAAACTTACTGCTTAGAATATAATGAATGTTTTTGATGTATTCAGCTTGTATTTCCTTAAAAAGCATAGGTATTTAACTGATGCAATTCCATCTCATCTACATTTTAGCACTAAAAACACCTGCCATTAGCTAACTGTAGTACCTGTTTTGCAGTTAGCAGTGCTATTATCTCTTAGACTGATATTATGAATTGGCTAATTTCACATCACATCTTCTGAGAATAGGATTTAAAAAGAAAGACACTCCAGGAAGCCATGTGGACTTTATTGTAAAATTTTATTAACTGCTTCTAATATTTGATATATATATATTTTTTTTTTTTCCAGAAAAAGAACACACTCACCTACTATGTTTTTCCCTGTTGTTTGTGCCTCAGGATTTCCCCTCTGATGTAGTTAAAAAGAAACGTAGGAATAATATTCCTTTGGGGATGAAGCTGGTATTAATGTAATAGAGATGTTGGTGACGTCATTACCAGGAGTATAATGTATTAAACTCTGATTCCATGTACAAAAATGTCAGACAGGAAGGAGCTCTTTGTGTTTTGAGTGCCCCACCTTACTGCATTGCAGGTCTAAGAGCTACACTTTAGCCTACCATCTGGTGGCCAGCTGAGAGATCCAGTAAGGAAATTCCTCTTTGTTTTGTCTTCTCACTTTTTGCTCTGTGTTCAAGATAATTGTCTTATCTGCTTATTCAGTTTTAATCCTAAAAATCACTTAATACTACATTCCTGAAGAAAATGATTTCAGCAATATTATTAACATCTTTTGAACAATCAAACAACCCTACACTGCTTCCCATTAAAATCCAATTTACAATGACAGGCAATCTTTGAATTATGATAAGCATGTCATTCAGGTGTATACATGTGAATCTCAGTGGAGTACTTAACTACTGGTTTAGTAGGTTCCTTCTACCAGGTGACTACTATATCATTCTATTTGGAAAAGAAAAAGCCTTTATGAATTAATAAGCCAATAAGTCATCAAAATACAGTAGTGAATGGTTGTTTACAACATTATTTCAATGATTTTTACTCTAAGTTTCTTACAGTTTTGCTTGGAAATCGAATTGCTGTCATATATTTCAATATTCTAACATCTCAAAATTACAGTTCTTGTTTCTTTGGATGAGGAACAACAACAAAATATCTTGCTTAGTTTTGTGCTTTTGTGTCATTTACATGGATTGCATTTGTTCTTTGGGCTTCACCCTCTCACACTTCGTCCCCGACTCTATCCCCACCTCCCATGACTTAAAGGAGCCTTTAAAATTAGTGATAAAATTCATGCTACTCAATCTCCTTTTTGTTGTTGTTAAGTGCTGTTGAGTTGGTTCCAACTCACAGCCACCCTATAGAGGGTTTCTGAGGCTTTAAATATTTTCATGAGCAGAAAGCCTCATGGGTCTCCCAAGGAGAGCTGGTGGATTCGAACTACCAAAATTGTGGTTCTCAATCCAGTGTTTATCCTATGGAGCCACCATGCTCCCACACATCTTCCTTC